GTGTAGGTGTAAGGTAATCTAAAAAGACTGTGCGTTTCTCAGACCTTCTCTGTTTGCTCACTTATTTTACCTGCCTAGTCTCTACTGGCATCTGAATATTTGATCCTTAAACTAGTATGTTTGTCAGAAAATGCAACTTGCTACCTATAGCAAAAAATGCATGAGATGGCTACATTTTGTTGAGATTATTATGTCATTGAATTTTTAGGGCACTCTGTTCCCTGGCACTGTGTTGAGTACTTTATCTCCCATAATAGTCACAAATATCCTATGTAGTAGATCCTGTTACGTCTGCAATTCCCACTTGAGAATACTGGTGTGTGGAGAGCTTAAGCAACCTGCCTGTCGGTCAGTAGCTAGAGAAAAGCAAAGCTGACACCAAAACCCACCTCTCTATATAGTGTCTTTGTCCAGTTTTTATCCTTCCTCAGATCTCTAAGAAATAAAAGACCTCCAGCCAACCCCCACGCTTCTCCAATATCTAGGAAATCCCTGAGAATCTAGTTCTCAACTTGTGTTGCAGAGCAAGCATTTAACTTCCAATGAGCAGAGTAAACCCCAACTCCTCTCTGAGTGTTGGAATCCTCAGGCAAAATCAGCAATATGGAAGTAGCCCAATTTTCTGTTTGTGGAGCTTTCTGATGGGTAGAGTTTCCAAATCCTTATATGTCATGCTATAGTCTTCTCTTATACCCAAGTTAACTGTTCTGGGGATCTACGTCCTCCATGAGAGTATTAACTCTGGTCTTCCATAGCACAGTCTCCTAGCCATCTGTCTCATTGCACTTGGGGTCCAATCTTATTAATCTTTGGAAACTTGGTAGCTACTCAAACTTTTGTTGGCTACATGATTGAAGGAATGCATGGCTGTGATGTTGGTATTAATGGTTATATTTCACCATTCGAAGATGACCTTAAAAATGTGATGACTCCAGTAATGTATAATTTTGCTGAATGTAAGTTTGATGCTTTGTGAGAATGAATAAGATAACTAATGAATCTCACAGATCACTTAATTTTCTCCTTTCACTGTAACTTCATTGGTCCTGACTTTTCTCTTTTTCCCCAGCTTTATTGAGGTATAGTTGACAACTAAAATTACACAATTATACACAATTAAGGTGTATAACTTGTTGATTTAATATTCTCATACTTTGTAAAATATCTGTCACACTCAACCTAATTAGCATATCCATCATTCCACATAGTTACGACTTTCATGTGTGTGTGTGTGTGTGTGTGTGTGTGTGTGTGTGTTGATAATATCCCCTCCTACCACTCTTGTTAAGGATTGAAGAGGGTCTCTGTATACTTTCAGTTAAGTTGTATTGCAATTTATCAGAAATGTCTTTGTAGTGATGATACTCATGAACTAACAATTGGAAAAAATTTGAGAACCGCTTCCTTTGAATACCAAAGGTCTTCAAGGGCTCCAAATGTCTTTATGTAATTAGAATTTGCATTGGATTTTCTAAGCAGGTTCTTCTGTGACTGTCCATGGACCCTTTAGGTACCATACTCAGTCCACGTGTCAGGATAAGCTTCTGAGTAGCCCCTTTCAGGTATATGGAGGAGAGGCCCACGTGACTCATTCCTGGAAATTAAGAATGCATGGCTACCAGGAATGGGATGTGGGCTGCTTATGCCCACATCTGGCAGGAAGTTGGGGTCCACACTGAATAGCCTTGTGTTATTGTTGCCGGTTGCTATTTGAGTGCTCTTTGGTTAGATGATGGGGAAAGTAACACATTCACATACACACAGGCATGGCCAGAGATCTTGTTACTTCATAACAAAAGCAAATGACTTCACTAATTACTTCCTCTTGTCTAGCCTCAGTTTCTGCATCTTTAAAATTGGGATAACTATTTCCTCTCTATAGGATTTCCTGTGGGCCCAGGGTATTTAATATGCTTCGCCTACCACCGCACAGTTAGTATTCCAGAAACGTTGGCTGTTAATGAACGTGCTTTGAATTGTGTGCAAAATCCCACAGGTCCAGTTTTCAGCCCCTGGGTATGACATTGATCAATAACTCTTTCTTTAAAATAAATATGCATACATATGGCTTAAGGAATAATATTTAGCTTCTTGACTTCATTTCCTCTCATAAACAGTACACACGAGCACCTATGCATATGCATGAGAACGTGCATGCAGACACACATGCTCACTACTTCATAATTTTTTTAAAGTTCCCAACAGTCAGGGTGATGTTGTCATGTATTAACTCTGGCAAGTGGCAGAGCTCTCATTTTTACCCAAGTAGAAAGGTTTCAGGACCCATAAATCGGAGGTGGCTTCGTGGCAGCACTGGGCATCCTAAGTCTGTTGTGAAATTTCTACTCCATTTAAGGATAGGTCTTGGCTGCTGGAGCTGAGAAAATGGGTCAGCAGAATAAATAATTCTCCTATTATATTGAGAGTATATATCTGTTTAATGCTGCCCCTTTTAAAAATATGAACAAACTTATTGAGCCAAGTTGGCAGCTGCTGGCACAAGGAAGAAGAAGACCAAAACTACCAAATGCTGATGATCATAACAGAAAAAAAAAAATCCAATCACTATGGAAAGTTGGAATAAACCCCTAGATCCATGTATGGTATATTATGTAACTATTCAAAAGGATGAATCTGGTCTGTATGTATTAACACTGAAAGAACTCCAAATGGATGTATGAATGCTAATTAAAAATGATATGTACACCCTGATACCATTTACATAAAAAGCATGTACACAATACTGTGAATGCGGCAAATAGATACTCCAGATACATGCAAAAATGCAAAATAAAAGTACGGACATGGATCTGTAATGGAGGCCTCCTCTGAGGAGGAAGAAAGGAAACCCTGTTGCAGTGCTGTTACTCAAAGTATATTTTAGCCTTTTCGTTAATGTTCCATTCTTTCTTTCTTTTTTTCCAAAGGACTCTACATTTCCATGTTTTATGTGTAATTAAAACATTAAAAATGGAAAATTCAATACTTTCCCTTTATGACAGTAATAAAATTATTCTTAAAAACCTATAAAACAAAGAAAAAATATCTTCCAGTCTCACAATTCAATTCAGCCATTACCATTTTGGTGTAATTCCCATCATAATTTAGTGCAAATCATGCTATACATATAATTTTTTATTTGAAAAAATGTTCATTCATTATGGGGCTCTCTCAGTTTTAACTCTGCTCATTTTAATGGGTATAATATTCCCCTAAGCATATACACTTTAATACTGTATTACTTACTTTATAATATTTGGTACAATTAAGTATGTGATCAGCTTATCAGCAGTTTTTCTCTCTATATATCTTAAGAGAGATGTACCCTGCAGAGGATTGAAGAATCAAAATATTGGAACGTTTCTAGTGACTTTCCATGCATACGTGAGCTCTTAGTTTGGGGAGTGTTGTGACACTTGGCCGTTAAGGAGGGCCAGAATGCACTGTCTCGAGGGGCCAATGAAACATCCTCGCCTGACCCGAAATGATGCTGGGCAGCCCAGAGAGTAAGAAACAAGCACTCACACATTCTTCTCTCACTCCGGAACTCCTCATGAGGGAACCTCCAAGCCCCTTCAAAAGCCTAATAACTCCAGAGGAGACTCAAAGAAGGAACCAAATTCTGCAGCCACACATCCAAGAATGACTAGTGAACAATGAGGTAATGGTTAACAAACAAACAAACAAAAAGCCTTCATCACCCCCCCCCCGCAACTTACTATTATAACAAGAAATTAAATGACCCAACCAATTCCCAAATGTATCTCACCCCCAAATGGGAGCTATCCTAGAGAGGCTGGAAGAAGAGCACGCACGTTAACCCGAAACTAACCTCGCCCCCGTTGGGGAAATTATCTAATTGGCTCAGGTGGTTCCCTGTAGCAGGTCAGCAGTACGGACACCCTCGCATGCGAAGGCAAACAGGGCTTGTTGAAACACACTCTCTAGTGAAATTATTGACAGGTTCAGAGGTACAGGCGATTTCTGGTAAAAGGCCAGTGTGTACTCACCATTTGTATAAGGGTTGACAGTCTTTTTGTTTGTCATTACACGTGCTGTGGCATTATTTACCTATGCACACAGAAAACTCAAGTGAGCACATATTCCGGGGCCAACCCACAGTTCCATTAGTTGCATGCATTATGACTGTGATTACTTACTTAAAAAAAATAAAACAAAACAAACTAAAATGCATTTTAATTTATAAAAGGCAGTAGGTGCATAACAAAAAAATCATACATTTTTATAATTACATTTACTTCATAACCGTTTTAACTTACAAATCATTTCAATAAAGCAATGTCATATCATTTAAGTTTAATAAGGAGACAGTAAAAGCAAATTAAAAGGAACTGCGTAATTGAAGATTTAAAAGCATGCGTGTACTCCATGGTAACACAGAAACAATAGCTTTTAAACAGAAAATAAGGTTCATATGAAGGAACATGCAGTGGAGTAGAAGAAGGGAGAGACAAGGTACAAGGGAACATAAATGTCAAAAAAAGGGACAAACAAGTTTTCGCCGTGTGCAACACGTTGGGAGGGAAGAACCATCGGGGAAAGCAACATCTAGCATTCAACACTCGGAACAAGAGCCTTTGACATCGCAAGAATTAACGAAACCATTCAAGCTTTAAAGTCACAGCTAACAAAAGGATAAAAGAGAGGGTGCATTGTTTAACACAATATGGAGTTAACGATCTGAGTAAGATGTGCACCGGTCATGTCTCAATCCAGTCAGTGCCTTCCAGGCTAGCTTAGAACGTACACTCAATTACAGGCGTACCAATATCCAAAAAAATAGAGCATCAAGAAAACTTAATATGACAAGTCAAAAGAAGTCACGTGGTATATATATATGTATATAGAGATATCAGCACTAAATACGTGTAACGGCAGATGGACTTCACCACTTACCATTCACCACCATCGCCAGCATGGGTTTGTATACAGTTACCATGGTTACTGAGAGTTTGGTGAGGGGCCTAAGCGTTATCGTCGAGGGGGGGAAAATAAAAGGCAAAATATGCAACATCTTACTCCAAAGACTAAAGCATTTGTAACTGGTATTTTTTTTCTCTTTTTTTTTTTTTTTAAGTTTTAACAAATATGACCCTGTGGCCACGTTGAGGGAGATCCAGTGGTAGGAGGAGGAGATTTCTGAGTACCAGAATTTTAGTATCAATTTTATCCATGAAGAGGAACCAGATATTGAACAGGAAATCCTGTTTGCTTATTCGCTTTATTATCAGAAGAATACAAAGGTTCGAGCTTCTTTGACTTCTTAAAAAAAATGAAAGGTTTCAAGACAAAACCTCTCATTTTTTACAAATATAAAACAATTGCTATTTCTTTCACAATTTGGATAATTTGCATACCACTGTGGATCCCTCGTCAACCCTGCAGTGGAAAGAAAAAGAAAAGAAAAAGAAAAAGAATCTGCTCTGTATTTTGTTCTGTTTTTGCAACACTCTGTCCACTGTCTGGAACCTACTGCACCCATTGGCTCTAACACATGGAAAATAAAATAATCAAATCAAATCAAATCAAAAAACTTTCAGATTAACCTTGTTTTGGTCTCACGTTTGCCATCCACCTTTCAGCAGTAATAAGAGTAACATAATAAAATAAAATGAAAAAAAAAGTAAGGCCAGTTTTCCTTTTTATATATAAATATATATATATATATATAAACAATGAGAAGGGAGTAGGGTCACATACAAGACACAATGATGCATCTGAAACAACGAATGAGCGTGAAAGCAGACATTTATCAAAAAGATGTAAAGGAAAATATTTTGAACATGCACCTCGATTTTACGGCCCTCTACCACGGTGCCGTGTAATTTCTCCCTCGCCCTGTCCGCATCGGCACTATTTTCGAAAGTTACGAAACCAAATCCCTGCATGCAGGAGGGAGAAGGGAAAACAACATGCAGATTATTATTTCAGTCAACGACCACTGTGTAACGTTCTCTCGCTTTAATTTCTATGTCTTGTCCTGGCTTCCGTTCTGTAACATGCAAATTAGAGAAATTATAAGAGTACTAAGATGTGCAATCAGTAAGCAACAAATGTGAACAAGATATATTTTTTTTTCTGTCACCAGTTAGCTGTAACCCCTGAAGAATTCAAAGAATGATACCCAAAATACCTTTCTAAATGTCACTACAGAAGAAAATAAATCTAACGGAAAGAAAATGAGATCAAAATAAATGTACGGTGTCTTCACAGAGAATAAAATGAAATAACAAGGAAAGTAAAAAGGGAACCACTTTCTTGACATGCAAATTAAGAATAAAGTAAAATAAAACGTGTGCACGGAATTCAACAATGAATGCCAAAATCTTCTAACATTGCCTACAGAGTCATGCCGTGTGGTTTTAAGAACATCTCTTCCTCATGCAGTTTTAGGGTTATTCAAATTGATCAATTCTACAGCCTTTACTTCTCAAAAATAAAAATTAGAAGCCTAAAAAAAAAGGAAAGACTTTTTTTTATAATAAATCTTAAACTCTTGGATCTAACAAACAAAATAATCACATGAAATGAATAGAAATAAACATCAATTGATCAATAATGCAAACAGTTCAAGTAAGTCTTTTGTATTAATACTTCCCCCTCCCATCACCAAAAATGACATACATGCTTAGAAATTTGTCAACTTCCCAGACTACTTTCTTAACCAAAAGGGGAAATGAGTCAACATATGATAAAGTGCTAACACATTATGTTGATTTTCTTTTGTCATATCAACAGGTAGACAATAAAGCCTCTTTGTTAATAGGATGTTATCTAAGATAACACTGGGCACTTCCTCTTCTACTGGTAGGTGACATACACCCTTCACTTCACCACTGGCAAATTTTGTGTTAATTTTTCAGCCTCAAAAAACAACCCCACTAAACGTTACATTGTCAAAAGCCATCTTTTTTTTTTTCTTCACTGACACTGTTCCTAAGAAGAGTACAGAAAATATGACACATTATTTTTAAAACCCCTAAAAATAAGCGTACGTCTTGTTCAAATATATACACCAACCTTTTGAAACACTGCCAGTGTCAATTTGCCCAGCTCGTTCTGTTTTTCACAGTGTAAACTGGGTGAAATAATGCCATGTGTGGGGATATTTCAACTATGCGTAAAGGTAAATGCTGGCTTTAAGCTTAGTTGGGGCAGGAAGATAATCTATTTTACGAATAAAAGTAATAGGTAGTCATAACCAACTAGTGTTAACTTCCAATCACTCAGGAGGTCACTAGAGCGTTCTCCGAAGCTCAGGGCATTTGAGAAGGATGCCCCATGGTCTGCCTAACAGAGAACTTTCCAGTGTCAACGTGGGCTCCTCTGTAGAGGACACCAGCTGTGAATGGATTCAAGCTAGAGGATATGCCTCTTTGGCAGGATTGCATAGTGAAAAAGTAAATTTCTTTAATTTGGGAGGTGGATGGAATTACCTTTCATAACATTTCCCATGGTGAGGATCTGTGGTTAAGATCAGTCTGAAATGTTTGCCCTAGCCCGGTTGCTCAGTGGTTAGAGCATAAGCCCTCAGACTGAAGGGTCATGGGTTTGATTCTGGTCAAGGGCACATACCTCAGTTGCAAGCTCGATCCCCGGCCCCAGTTAGGGTATGTGCAGGAGGCAGCCAATTTATGTGTCTGTCTTTCATTGACATTTCTCTCTATTTCTCCCCCTCCCTATCACTCTCTCTGGAAAGCAATGGAGAAACTATCCTCCAGTGAGGATTAACAAAAACAAAACAAAACAAAACAACATAACAAAAAAAATAGGTCTGAAATATTTGATTAATATAAGGTTATATGCTCCATAAGAGAAGGACTCTATCTAGGTGGTATGCCTATGTTTGGTACTCAAATAAACATGTTAACTAAATAATTATAGCTCTTTGATGAGCAAACAACATAATTTGGAAGGTTTGCTCTCTTTGATGGCTCTGGGTTCCAAACTTAGTTGCACATCAGAAGGAACTGGGAGCATATTAAACACTTAGATGCCGATCCCTGCCATGTAGCCACCAGATCAGAATCCCCAAGAGGAGCCCAGGAATCTGTCAAAAAAGCTGCTGTGTGGTCCAGCCTTTGGGTTCCCATGGCCTCTCAGCACCAAGCACCATCAAAAGAAGCTTCGACTCTTTGTATGAAGTAGAATATTGTACCACCAATGTCTATAGTGCAAACCTAGGGAGTGGGTTGAGTTTCTGAGGTGAATATCTATCTGACACGATTATTTGGATCTTAGATCAGCCAAAACCACATTGCAATGTTCTCATCCTCACCAATAATCCAAATTCCCTAGCATCCATAGCCATGCCATACATTTACGGTAATAAGTATTAAGGGAAACCAGGATTCTGGCTGTACTGGAGGCAATTCTCTCACTAGGCAAGGAAGAAACTTCCATTGTTCCAGTCATAGATGGAGGGCTTGGTGGCATCATTGGTGTCTATGGGCACTAGCAGTCATTATCACCACAGTGCTGGGAAGAATGTAGGTGAACCTGAACATTCTCAACCTACCTGTCTAACATCACCAAAGGAACCGAGTGTCATGAATCTAGTCTGAACCCAAGGCAAACCATGCTGGCCTGAAATATGCATTGTGTATGCCGAGGAGGAATAAAGATGAAGATGCAAATATATTTTGAATCCCAAGGAAAGTTGGGAGGAAGACTCCATACCACGGAAGTAAGGATAGCACTTTATTAGTAGTAGCAGTACTCAATTTCTGTTAAACTTCTCTCTCTCTCTGAGCTTCTCAATACTTCTCTATTCAAGCTGATGAGTTCAAAATTGTGTGAAGTTGGGTTCATGTGGGTTCATGAATAGCTTGCTCCAGAAACAGTCCCTCAAATACCCAAGGGACTTTCCTTCTTGTTCCATTGGACCTTCATATACTCCCCCCAAAGGAGCGATCAGACCTCCTGCGTCAGATGTCTGCCAGAATTCTCCTCTGGGGAAGTTAACCATAACCAGAGAGACCCTCACCTGGCCACTTTCAGGGATCTCCATCATGCAGAGGTACCAGGCAATGCTGTGATCTGGTGCTGAGGTGGTTTCTTTTGACCTGCCTCATGGTCAGAATTCTATCACAAGCAACCAGCAACTTGCCTTTCTTAAAAATATTTTGAATACTTTTATCTCAGTCTTAGCAAGGGGAACAATAGAAGAATAGTGTAGACCTGGCTTGGGGAGCAGAGGAACTGAGTGTAATGCTGATGGGTAGTCCCTTAAAGATGAAGAGTGCAGCCCTAGCTGGTTTGGCTCAGTAAATAGAGCATCGACCTGCAGACTGAAGGGTCCTGGGTTTGATTCTGGTCAAGGGCACATGCCTGGATGGCAGGCTCAGTCCCCATAGGGGGCATGCAGGAGACAGCCAATCAATGATTCTCTCTCATCATTGATGTATCTATCTCTCTCTTCTCTCCCTTCCTCTCTGAAATCAATTATATATATATATATATATATATATATATATATATATATATT